CCAATCAAATTGAGTTGTCGAACAGTTTTCGTGGCTGCATTTGAAGCCACTTCGATGGACTCTAATAGTGCAGTTGCAACTTCTATAAGCTCAATAACACCAGGGTTGCCTCTCAGGAACTGCAGTTATAGTTACAGTACACTGATATCGTTTGTCCTGCATATATTTGAGTTGATTTGCTGTAATAATTGTAGTCAAATGCGTCGCTTAAATCAGAGATGTTAGATTTACTATTTTTGATAAACTATAATCCTTTTAAGTAGCAAGGAATGTACCTTTTCAGTAAAGGGGTCCACCTCCTTAAGTTGTAACAGCGTCTTTTCTTCGAAGTTTTGCTTTGTATCATCCTCGCTTTGCAGATATAACTTCTGAATGGGCTCAGCCTGTGATGGAAGGCAGCATATAACATGGAATTCAAGCAGCAAGTGGGAAGATCAACAAACTAAAAAGAAAAATGTTATTATATTCTTTTGGGTTTAAATGATAACTAACATCTTTTGAAATGCCTTGATCTCAGGAATATCATTTTGATTAATGTACCAACATGGCTTGATGGTAGTAATGTTCTTTTTCCTATTTGATTTCCTCAGTTAACCCTCTTTCTATAGCATCAAATACGCCTTGTAGATACTCAACTCTTAGTTTGTCTTGATTTTTAGCAATATACCTAAGTCTATCTTCATCTTCCATAGCACGGGCATCTACAATTGCTTGTTTTGATAGTCTACCATAGCATAGATAAGGGTTTGGTTGATCTGGTCTAAAATGCATATGGTATTTGTAAAACTCATGAGGTGTAATCGTTGTTCTTTTTCTCTTACTGCTACTTGTGGATTCATTTTTATGGCAAGGTATACCAAGTTGGAATCCTTTATCTCCGTATGGAAATAATAATGGATACTGTAAAGGCATATATGCTGGATGAAATATAGATATGCGCTGCAGACCTTCATTCTTGGTACTAACTATAATATCTCTCTCAAATTTCTCTAGATTTAGTTCACCAACTATTAACATTGCTAGTTCCTCAGTATGCGGCATTTCATATTGTATTGGGTCTCCTTTATTGGCTCCTATGATACGAATACTAATATCTATACCTTTGTGCTCTTCAAGCAAGTCGCGAGCATGACGAAATTTTTTTACTAATGGGTTATATAGGTCGAGCATTTGTTTAAGTTTTTCAATAATATATGGATTTAAATCATTTTCAATGTTCTCTTCTCCATAGAGTGCTCTGATTCTATTTTCTATCTCATTTTTTGTATCAAATATATATAACTCTGCAAACTTTGGTATATTACCTGGTTTTGGCAGTAAAGATCCTATACGGTGATGTATTTGACCATTTATACGGAACACATATGGACCATCACCTGTTTATATCTTTGTCAATATTACCGCCCATTGATGTAAAAGCAAATAGGCTATTGTATTGTCTTATTTTTTGCAAAAAATGTTTTGACAATGGATGATCTTTATCATTAACTAATTTGGACAGAAATTCTGGAGGTTCTCTAAATGGAGGAATTTTAATTTCTCCATATTTGCAACAATTTGAGTACATTACTTGTTTTTGCTTCCTCGAATCAGTAATATTTCTTTCGTGGAACCAAAATGTAGCATTACAGTATGGGCAAATGTATTCTGGTACACCTAAGTATGATCTCTCAGTATATGTCTCTTTTAGATGCTGAATATAATCTGATGTAAATGAAACCATACCTTGATATGAAGATAGGTATGAATGCTTAAGATCTATTTGTAGGCAATGTCGTTTTATTTCCGATTTACTATCCAAGTCATCCTTTTCTTTTCTTTTTTTATTATCTTGCTCTATTCTTTCTGATCTTATTTTTCTCCTTTTCTTTGGGTCTGCTTGGATGTTTTCTATCTGTAATTTGAGATCTTTTCTCTTTCTATAGACCATAGCTATATGCCCATAGAATATAGAGCAATAAACAACAAAATTAGTAATGCAAGATGAATATAGAAGAATATAAATTGTAAACTATAGCCATTAAATAATAATACAACTTAAGTTACATCATAGTTCCAATCAAGTAGGGGAAAAAGGAAAGAATTACATGGAAAAAATAAAAAATATAGCCAGCCTGATAATATGGAAATCTACTAAAGCTAGTGGTACATTTGTAGATCCAACTATTCCTATCAGGTTTAGGCATAAAGTTTACACTAAAGTTTAAAGTATTAATAGCTATAAATATAACAACTTTACTAATCCTTTGATATAAGGATAAGTAACTCCATTGATCGCAGAGTATGTTGGAGTAGTTCAGTGAAGTAGATTTGCACCGTGTATATTCTATATAATTACATAACACACCAAATCTTTATTAATTAGTATCATAAATGGAGATATGTACATGAAAAAAAAACAGTGGCAATGAATATTGTTGGATGCTGATACATACCTTTGATAAGTAAGTTGTCTCTAGCTTTATTATAACAGTGGTTATCTGCAATGTAAAATAAGCAGTGCTATATAATCAGTGTCTTGGCAGTTATAATTGTGCTAATGTATGCAGGCTGGAAAAAAAATCAAAGCAACGATTAGGAAAAACCTAATGAAAAACGAAACTGAAGTCAAATATAGACTGATTTGTGGCTGCATTATCACGAACAGGTAGAAGCTGTACTGTAAACAAGATAACAAAGACAGCATAGGGAAGTATGTGTTGTTTGACTAATATAATGGGTGGTATTTTGTCGAATATCTTCTGTGCGCTATCATGTCTACGTAGCGGGTGCTGTTAGTGCTGGGGCAGTAAACGCTGGTGTAGGTGGCTGGATGCTCCCTCGTAGAAGCTCCATGAGACAGGCGGGGTGGTGACACGCAGTACGCGCACACAGAAGAGAAGGCCGGCTGTGGCGTCGTGGCGTGACTGCAGGCGAGGTGTGCGTGCTCTGGCGTGGATTGGATGGAGGCGTGGACAAAGAAAGGAGGAGTGCGTCGAGCGCGGCCTGAGTGGCGTTACCGTGCCGCGGTTTGTTGTATACAGGAACAAGAGGATGCTGTACCACTCAACCTGCATATTCTACTCTAGCATCATTTGATTTGGCAGTATTAGTACTGGCTAGTGCGGGCGACCGGTATGCTCGCGAGGCCGATCGGAGTAGCGGCGTTGCGGACGGCGGACGGGGAGGAGGCGGCCGGCACCAACGCGAAGCGCGAGGAGAAGGAGCAGGCGTAGTATATGCGCGCAGCCTCCGCATTGTCGTCCGGGGTCGAAGTTGCGCGTAGCTGAACGGATCGTACTGGCGGCACGACGACGCGCGGTGGCGGCGAGGCTGATGCGAGTGCGAGGCCGTGAATAGCGCCCGCCTGCCCTGCCGTCGCAGGCGCCGCACCAGCCGCGCGAGCCCGCAGCACTGGGTGCTGCGGCCGGCGGATCCCGGGCCGGCGCCGAGGAGCTGCCTCCTTTCGCCATGCGCGCCGACCAAGGATGCACATGGATTTGCCGAGAGACGGTACGAATGTCCAAACAATTCAATCCTAGAATCCTAGATGGGGGAGAGCAGCCCTTAGTTCCACTCTAACTTCCAAAAAATTGCTACAGTATTTGTCACATCGAATGTTTGCGGTCCATGCATGAATCATTAAATGTAGATGAAAAGAAAAACTAATTACACAGTTTGGTGAAAAATTGCGAGACGAACGTTTTGAGCCTAATTAGTCCACGTTTAAACACTATTTGCTAAATAAAAACGAACGTGCTACAGTAGCTCTAAAATCCAAATTTTTCCAACTAAACGAGGGCTGATTATAGAAGTTGGGGCTGTACCTGTTTCCCTGGTCGATGGCGATTGCTTGCTGCTGATGGATGATTGCAACGTTTATGGGAGGAGAAAAGGGGAGGAAGGCCGGATGGATAAAAAATATATATACCCGAGGAGGAGAGCCAAGGCTGGGTCGGCGCTTGTTCTCGAAGCCGCGGCGCTGGACTCGAAGGGACGGTGGCTGAGAATATTAAAATATTAAGCCAAGTAACCTGGCCAGGCTGTCTTCCACAGCGTAGGCAAAGGGCAACTCAAATCCAAAATAAGACGCGGATAGTGTTTTGGGTATTAAAATCATGCTCAACAAAAGACGCAAAGACAGTGGCCATTTTGCGTGCTCGGCGAGGCGGTAGGCAAAAATACGTCGTCTCTCTCCCCACGACGCAGTTCTCTAGCGCGGACGACAACGACGAGGCGGGCCCACGATGGAGCGAGGCGGGTCCGCGGCCGGTGCTTCTAGGCGGGACCGTGGCGGGGCGGGACGACGGCGAGGCAGGCCCGCGGGGAGCAGGGCGAGGCCGCAGGGGCGAGGCGGGGAGCGGGGCGCGCCACCGGATTCGAGCTCCTGCTCACCCGCGCAGCCGGATCCAGGCTCCTCCTTGCCCGCGACCGCCGGATCTAGGAGGGATGGATGTCGCTGCCGGCTGGATCCGGGAGAGAGGGAGGGGCAACGCGGGAGAGAGAGAGTGAGGAGAGGGCGTATTTGCGTCGGTTGTTGGAGAACGCTGAGTTTTGGGTCTCCACGCAAGCGGCGAGCGTGACCCAAACGAACGAATGGGTCTCCGATTTGGATGAGGGCTGTTGGAGATAGTCTAAAGAGGAGAGCTGGGGCTGGGTAACGACGTTTTGGATTTGAAGAGACGGCCTGAAGATGTTGTATCCACCGTCCGTTATTTTATTCCTTTACGATCCTATGGCTGAGAATAGCAGGTGACGTGGCCCAATCGTATGCCTGAGCTTGGCTCAAGATTCAAAAGGAAAAGAGATAGGCCCTGTGCAAATCCTCATTTAGGTCCAAAGTATAAATCTCTTCTCTACAGCTAAAAAATACGAAGAGGACCCATCTACCCTCACCATGGTGAAGCCGGCTTTCCATTCCCCTCCTGCGATCTTTCACCGCGCCGACATGTGGGCCCCGTGAAACAGAAGCTTCGAAACGCACACGAACCTGGCCCCTTCCGATGCCCGCCCTACCTCCGATGCCAACGCCGCCATGGCTCCTCCACGGCCTGCCCCGGTGCCTCCCAGCCCTCCCCGCTGATGCCGGCAGCCTGCTCCTGCCCCTTCACGCCGCCGCCCACTACCCTCTGCCATCCCGCATCCCGCATCCCGCTGCCGCTCTTTCCGCCGCCACCACCGCAGGCCAGGTGCTCATGTCTTCGTCGGTCCCCTCACCAGGTCTTTGTCAGGAAGATTCGGCGAGGAGGCGGCCCGGGCGAGGTAAGGTGCTCGCCCTCGCCAGATTCGGTAAGGAGCCAAGGAGGCAGCCCGGCTGGGGTGGAGGTGCTCAGCAAGACAAGGGGGCGGCAGGGGTGGCGGCGTGCCTCCGTGCTGCCATGTACAGACTCCAACAGCTACTTGTACGGCAGGCGGGCGGCCGGGCTCGTGCAGGACGTGGGCGCGGCAAGAGGCCGGAGGCTCATGCGGCGGTCGCGTGTAGCCAGGCGAGCTCGCGGATGTGGCGAGCGGGCGGGGGCTCGTGCGCGGTCGCGTGCAGCCGGGCGAGCTCGCGCGCAGCAGGTGGCCCAGCGGATGCATACAACAAACGGGTGGCCGGGCGGATGTACGGCGGCGGGTGGCTGGCCGGATTAAGGCAAGCGCGCGGCCGGGTATACATGTGTGGCGGGCGGACGGACGCTAACAGGTGTCCCATTAGCTTATGGTGATGACGTACAGGAAGTGCTCGAGGAAAGGAAAAAGTCTACTCCACCTCGAGGGTGGTCTACATAACCCCTCAACTATGAAACGATTTGATTTACCTCCTGAAATTTTCAAAACCGTCTATTTTACCTCCCAGGCGGTTTTCAACGATGGTTTTGCTACAGTAACAGCGGGTTTGCTACAGTGACAGGGTTTTGTCTTTTTCCTTATTTTCGCTGAATCTTTGAAAAATCATACTAAATCACAGAAAAATCATAAAATGGAAAATCTAATTTTGTTGGACTCCACATGAGTAGATTACACAGTGAACATATAATATGGTACACTTTAGCACAAAACTTTTACTGTAGATTTATATTAATTAGAAAATCTAATTTTGTCTGTAATTAATTGAAATTTATCTATAACTAAGTTATACATGGTCCAATGAGTACGAAATTTTTACTATAGTTTAAGCATATAATAATTAACCTACCATAAAAATTTCACCACAATTGAACCATAGAAACTGCAGCTATGAATTATTCTAATTAATTACAGATAAAATTGGATTTTCCAATTAATCTAAAGCTACAGCAAAAACTTTGTACTAAAGCATACTATATTATATGTTTACTGTGTAGATCTACTCATGTGGAGTCCAACAAAATTAGATTTTCTATTTTATGATTTTTCTGTGATTTACTATGATTTTTCAAAGATTCAGCGGAAATAAGAAAAAACAAAACCCCTGCCACTGTAGCAAACCCGCCGTTACTGTAGCAAAACCGTCGATGAAAACCGTCTAGGGAAAAATAGACGGTTTTGAAAAATTCAAGAGATAAATCAGACCGTTTTATAGTTGAGGGGTTATGTAGATCACCCCCATAATTGGGGGTGGAGTAGACTTTTCCTTCATGGCTACAGGTTTTGTTCCCATCCCTTGTCGCCTGCGGCCTGCATACTACTCTCCACTGTTGCAAGCGTCTTTGTAGTAGCTTTCTGTCTGTACTTGAATCCAATCCTATTCTCCATTGCCTGCCTCCATCTGCTGACCTCACCTCCGCAAGGCCAAAGGGACTTGAAGTGCCGAAACAGCCAGACACGGTGAGGTCCTCCCGCTTGCTTCCCGTTATGATAACTGCAGTAAATGTTAGTTCTTTGTAATCTAAGGGCATGTAGCAGCTTTCCTATTTTCCTCAATATTATCATGGATTTGCAACCATGCATATACTTTTTTCATTTATATATGATACACGCATTGCATTTATCAAGGTAAGTGCCACGGTTGGATTATGGAATTAAAGTAAGCTCTAATTCTCCTTATGCCCTAATAATGGATTTTCTCATCAACATATTTGTTGTATCCATTGGTGTCTGCAGTTTAGGTAATCCGAATAATCCGAACTTGTCCTGCAGGCGAATTGCAGATGTCTGGATGTTCTGTATGGTTAAAACAATGTTTGCTTCATTTCTTTTAAAGGAGGGTCAAGGAATTTCAGTCTTCAAGATATTTTTCAATCAAATGAGAAATACTAGATATATTGTTTCCATAGAACTTCTGATTATTTCTCTGTTTCTTTTTTTTGTGGACACAGTGAATTGCATCAAGAACCTACTCGATCATGATTCATGAGTTACTTTGTGTCTCGTGTGATCTTCATGAAATTTAGCTAACTTGAGCTTTCAATTTGAATTGAGCAGGAAGTTGGCTCTTCCCCTTAATCCCATCGTTGATGACAGATGAAAACTTATGGTTTGGCCAGATGAATATAAATTCTTCAAATAGTTGATTTATGTAAAATTATAATCCCATGTCTTTTGATTCATATGTTTGGTATGTAGTTTCTGGTTCTGTACAACATATGTTTTTCTTCCATGTTCCCTGTCGCAAAGGCCATCTGTTACTGAACCTGCTGTTCTGCTGACAGATTTTCAACAAATCTCTTGCGAAAGGAAAGAAGGTTTAACAAATACATGCTTCTACTCTGAAAACTGAAATGTTCTTTTATACTAAATTATACAATGCTGATGTCAGTGTAGGTTGCAGGAAAGAAGGAAACCTCAAGTCAATATTTCAGGATTGGACGCCAAAATTGCCCTGCTGCCCTCGGTGCCAGTGGTAGCCTTCTACAAACGACGGAGAACCGGCTGGCTGTGCGGGTGCCTTGAAAACCGATAATAGCTGGTGGTTGTTAAATTCACAATTTCAAGCAGCATGTGGTTGTTCAAATTCACAATTCCTTATCATAGCTTGGCTTCTACGTTGGTATGGACTTGCTCTTTGTCTGTGTAAATGGAAGACTGATAATAGCCTCAATGGGGTTCCACTACTGAACATATTGATGAACAAAGGTTCCTGATATTATGGCAGGTTTACATAATTTTGTTTTATCTGAGTGGCCTATAAGAAATAATGAATTAGCATGGTTATGTTTGAACCTGTGTACTTTATCGATCAACTTTTTGATTTGGCTATTGACTTATGATGGAAATTTCACGAGATTTTTAATTGATGTAGAACTGCATTGTAAGCGCATCACAGACAAGACATGGTATAATAGATAGTTACAATGAACATGTTTATTATGGTATGAACTATGTTGTTTTGATTGCGGTTGTCGTTTGGCCCGCGCTAAGAGCGTCCGCAATTGGTGGGCGTTTCTAACCCGCGTGGTCGTCCTCTAGATCTGGTTGGACACATGATTTATGTGGCGACTCATCTTGGCAGCGTGGCACGACGCATGAGGGAGGGGAAGAGAGGGCTTGGGCGGCACGAGCAGATGGTGCTAGAGCGAGCAGATGGTGCCGGAACGGACGGACAGAGGCGGTGCAGTAAGAACAAAGAGAGCAACACATGAGGAAAAAGGAGCAGATGTTTGCGGATCAGGAGATCGAGCGAAGGGGAAGGGACCGGGTACATATGGGAACGAATGGTGGGCCCAGGCATGGATCTAGGTCCGTATCTATACATTGAAGGCAAGATATCAGACGACGTCTTTGTGGGACTCATCCAAAGGAATGCCCTTGTATCCATACAATGCTGGTGCCCTAATAAGATGGTTATTTTGTTCCCGTTGCAAGGCATAGGCATTTACCTAGTACTAGATAAATAAATAAACAACAACAACAATAGTTATTATCAATTGTATTATTATGCTTGTATGATCTATTGATAGCCTCTTTCTACAACCAAATCAGCATCCATATTTCTCTTTTCCCATTATTTATATGCTTTACACAGACATAGTCATATTTTCAAACCCACCTTTTAGGGGAAAAAAACTTAAAATATTGGTGCAATAGAAAAGAACAAAATTAACATGGTTAGAAATTCAAGAAGAACAGTTCTAGTCTTCTAGGCATATGCTAGCTTGGAATAGCATATTGATCTGGTTAGTACTTAGTATACTGGCTGCTCAGATCCAACAAGAAGTAGCTTCCACAGTCACAGCGCAAACATGTTTAGAATATAAATTTATCTCAATCAATAAATCGAAGCAGAATAGGAGTGCAAATTTATCTCAATCAATAAATTGAAGCAGAATACAAATTTATCTCAATCAATACAAATTTATTTCAATCAATAAATTGAAGCACTCGGGCAGGGCTAGGTGTGACCGGCTAGGGCACGAAAGGGGGAGCAGAGAGGCGGGCGTCCTAGTCTACTATTTTTTCTTTTTCTTTTTTTTTGGTGTGTAATGCGTCTTCCTAAATTTCGGGTTGCCAAATCATTTAATCTTTCTTGGGACATTACCGACCTCAAATGTATAATATACAATATGATTACATCGAGCAGACGCCTTACATAGAGCAAAGAAGAAAAAAAAAAGAAAAAGATAGTAGATTAAGACGCCTTCACACCAAAACAAAAGAAAAAATAGTAGATCAAGACGCCCGCCTCTTCGCTCCCCCTTTCACACCCTCGCCGGTCACACCCGGGCTCGCCCAAGTGCTGTGCCCGCCTCAGGCACGACGCCAGACGCCTCCTCGAGCAGCGGCATCCACGGCAGCGGCTTCTTCGCCTTTGTCCTTGCATCGCTGTCTCCAACGCAGGACCATAGCGCCCAACTTGAGGGCTGCCCCGATTACTGTGAAGTACCGACTAAGCCACCCGCGCAAAGGACGCAGATGTCAAGTGAACTCAGTTTTGTAGTGTCGGTGGGGCTGCCGCCATGCTCCACGACATGTGGGGCGACCAGGTGCCCCTTGGTGGCGGGGTTGCAACGTGGGGGAGTCAGAGACACCGTTGGGGGGCGTCGGAGGAGCCACCCCTATCAGTGGAGCAGGGGCGCGGATGGATAGGTCATCGTGGGTGCCGGTGGAGCCAGGGTTGACTCTGGGAAGATCCAAACTGGGTCCCTCGATCGGATCTACTGTCACCGCCTGATCACTTCCTGCCCAGCTTCCCAATTGGCTTAAGGAACATGGGTGCCAGCTTCTTTAAGATGACTTTAACAAGAACCAACGGAACCCGCAGGATCTAGGATGAAAATTCAAGGAGGCTGAAGTTCATCTTTAACCTACAACCTCCCCTCCTCAAAGCAGTCATGGAAAAAATCTTGGAGGGGCTTGAAGGACCAGTGGTAGGGGGGCTTAGCCCCCCGCCACACCAATAGATCCGTCCATGGGCGGAGCCACCCCTGGAAGTAGAGCAGCAGGGGGCGGTGCCAAGGGCACCGGCCGAGCCAGCCCAGATGCCGCCATGCTGAAAACTACCAACGCGGCTATGAGAACACGCATTTTTAGGGATGACATTTTTAACTTAATCTGATGTGATGGTGTGTATATACATTTATAAGCAAGGAGGCCCTGGCCTGCATGCTACAAGATATTTATTCTCGCTATTTGAGTTTGGCGCATGTGAAATAGCACAGGCCCCCAAGTGTTTAGGGCCCCTCAAGATTAGTCTATATATTAATCAGCATTAGTAATGTTAGTCTATAATTCAGGAAAAAAAAGAGTAGTACTACCAATCCATATGCAAATCATTTGTATTTTTCTCTTGCCACTTAAACTATTTTTC